TTCCTTGGGTTTCAAAACAAGAATTTCCTGACATGCCTCTTCAACTTGATCAAATGCTTTGAATCCGCGTCCATGCAGGAAATGTTAAATTGAGCGGAAAAGACGACAGATGGGCTGAGCAGCATCTGGACTGTAGGCTGGGATGCGGCAAGACCTCGACTCCCTCCAGTTAACAAATTTTTTTTGTCCTCTGCAGTGTGAGGTTTGGCATTGTCTTGCTGAAACGGCGCGAGCTTTTTGCGAATTAGTGCCACGCACTTTCCATCAACGCATCGTAGACTCGGTCTAGCTGTTTTATTTTGGAAATATTCCAAAGTTATTTCCATGAATTTACATTGACCGATACTGTGTGAAACAGGCATGAAATCTGAATTTTTCGCAGCTGTTAAGAAACATTTTCCTAAGTACTATCATTACAATTATTATTACTACCACGTAACTGACATCACGTTCAGGACACTGTACAGATCCCAGCACTTCTCTTCTTGCATTATATTTAGCTCTCTCTATGACACTCATCAAAAATTATTTATACTTACAGTAAACTCGATCATTGCCGAAAAGACAAAAGTCATACAGGCGCCCATCCAAACGTCAATCGCTTTCACATAAGACGCCTGAAACAGCCAGTCATGTTGATTGAATATGGTTATAAAACAAAAAACGCAAGGAAATTCTAGAAACAAGCTTGAGATTAGGACTGATGTCGAGACGACTCTGATATATAACAATCTTGATAGAAAATTGTTTTGGAAACTTTTTTCTCTAACGTCCAAGAGTGAATATGCTAAGTAGAGAATTTATCACAATATTGGTATCAAAAACGGTGACACATAGCTACGTAAATCATAAAAAATTGTACAAAACAACAATTAAGAAACAAAAAAAGTAATAAGCCATATAGTTAGTGCTCCAGGGTTCGTTGCTGCTCATGAAAAAGCTGGGCATTCTGGGATTATTGGAAAAATTTTTTAGAAAAATTTTTTAAAGAAAGTAAGCTATCGAAGTTATTATCAAGAACTCTTTAGTTTTGAAGAAGACATACAAGACTTGTGAAAGAAAATTTAAATAGTCAGTAATGCTATACCTGAGGTAAGGCCATTCTAGCTGCACCGCTTTGTGTTGCCAAAGTCAGCAGAGTGGTTATAGACAGTGAAACCTTAAGAAAATAAAGTTTTGAAAGAGGGCAAAAACGAGTTCAACATCTTCAAAAGCTAGGAGATTTATCCGGTATTTCATGAATGTAAACTATACTTTGTCATGGTGGCACGTAGAGGGGCCGATGAAAAGCTGAGTTTTTGTTCTGTAGTTTTGATAACACTCTCAGATAGTTTTGCCGCTTCATCGTGGGTGGGAGGTGTTCCCGGATGCCGGACTGCGAAGTACAGCAGGTAATTCAACTCCTCAACAACGTCTATTCGAGCTGAGAAAGAGTCGGACGCTTACTTCGGTAAAGCCCACCTAAGGGTAAACCGCATCAAGAGTGACCGCCGTCATGGTAGCTACTAGTCATGAGGCGGTGATCTCCGTCTGATCCACAAGGGCTAGAGACTGCTGTAGTGTAGTGACAGCCCTAGGAAACGCCAGCTAGGCTTACCACAGGACTCCAGGGTACAAAGCAGCCGAACCAGCATTGTTTCCCTCTGGTGAAGGTCCCCATTATCAGTGAAGATAGACCGTCCAAATATCCAAGTAAGTTTCGATAACAGTCACTATACTATCTAATATCAAAAATGTACTGTACATGTAGTATTCTTATATTGTACTATTTTCAAATACTACTACAATCTAATTCGGTGTTTGGAAGAAACTACGATGCCATCTAGTGCAATCAGGCTATGAAATTTAATGTGCAATTTTTCGTGTCATAGGCTTGTGTAGAGTAACACTGCTTTTATACGAGTTCCATGCATGGAGATTTTTCTAAGTGACGTTTGTTCGCCTCTATCTTAGCAAGTCATCCGAGTGTATCAAACGAAAACGACTAAAGAAGAAGTCTTTTGGTGAAAATGTTGCACTGATTGGGATTTTTCATAATGAATGATTTCAAGACGAAATCCTATGTTACACCATCAGTTTCTCAGTGAAAGATTTTGCTGTTCGGTTATACTTCCTGTAAGTTAAAATGCCGTAACAGTCCCAAGAGTAGCGGTGACGTTCGGCATGCTTTACGTGGGTATAAATCTCTAGGAATTGTCAAAAAAGGACGTTCTCACATCGAATGACCATTCGACACGGTACCGTTTTGGACCAAAGTGAGCATTTTGAGATGTCTCAATATTTTAGCAACCTTTTGTCATACACGTCTTTATCTCTTTCAAGGCACTAAATCAAGGTAAAAGCTCATCAAAATGAGTAGGACAACTGCATGAATTTTCTTTGTTCACTCAAAGTGAAGCTAACGGCGCCCACCATTTTCCACGTTTGTCAATTACGTAATAGACATCTCTATGAAAACTCCTTTTTAGCCCAAATAGGCCATTAAATATTAATGGTAAAGATCTCTGGAACAATCTACTAGAGCGAAGAAGGAATTGAAAAGGAAAATCTTTTGACAAGCATTCAACGGCATTCGTGGAGTGACTGAACTGCTCAAATGTTACTCGAAGTTGTATGTGTATGATGCGAGACATTGAGTCAAATGGCAAATTTCTGGAATACATACAAGGTGCTGTGTTGGATAACATAAATAAAAAATCAAATCACTCAAGCGTGTGATAAAGTGTAAGTCGACTGTACAGCAAAGGCGCTCGGTAAATCCAGCTCTACATCTCCATTCGGGCACACTTTTTTCGTCTGACATTTCGTTGATTTTCACGGAAAAGTAGGGTGTGTAGATAAGATGTCAAGAATATGATTATTTGCAAAACACAAGAGTGAGGTCGAGTATTTGATGATTCCTATAAGATTCTGAAACGAACTGGTCCTGATTCTACTTAACGAATAGAAAGACAGTGATCAGTTTTTTGAGACAAGCAAATTTCATTTAATTTCATGCTTTCAGAGAGGATTAGCAACATAACTGCTGTATCAAAAATTGCATAAAAATTGTCTTACCCGCGCAGGAACTGCCTCAACATCCAGCCAAAATGAAAACCATGAAATCACAACGATGAGAGTGGTTGGAACGTACGACTATAATTTAATGGATCAATAACATTTGCAATAATTTTTGGATTTAGAATGCATGGCCGACTATAGTACTCTTTTCATCGTCAATTACACGATTTTTGATGCATTAATAATAGGGTTACATATTTAGATACATTGAAAAGTTTTTAGAATAGATTCTTTTCTTTGAAATGCCTTCCGGTGTGCAACGTCACTGGGCGCGAAAAACTAATTTCACTTAACTAGTATTCTTAAAAAAAGCAGCTTTAAGGATTGTAACAAAAATCTCATAACAGTACACAACTTGGAAAACGCCTCTTTCCTCAAAAACTTTCTACAACAGGGAATAGTGATTAGTTTACGTTTACCAGTTTTGTAATTTTATGTCAGCTCAGTAAGAAGTATAGAAAAGTACAAATTTATGTGCAACACCAAATAAGTATCATGTTATTGCGTAAATTTTGCTTGAGAAAAACTTTGCGAAATAGGTTTTTTGCAGCAACTAACTTACTTGAATAATGTGATGCATAATTTCACGATCCACATGGAATTCAGCCAGAGCACAAGACCAAACTCCTGCAATTGAAATATGTTAATTTGTACAAGGATTCTTTTAGTTCACCGCTTTAGTAGCACTGTTGTGATTTTTGAACTATACATCTAAGAATGTTGAGGGATACGCAAAGCGTTGAACCTTGGGCGGGAGTTAAACGCGCGTCTTCTTCTTTACAGGGGCGTGTGCTAGCCACTGTACTACTGCTACGCCTGTACATGTGAAAATGTATTCAAAATCAAATCTTCAAACAAGTAAAAATCATTCGTAGGGGTCCTAATAAACGAAAAACTTTTCGCTCAGCAATTTTCTTTGCATATTATGAAAGACTTGCGATAAATTGTCCATCATGGTGTAGAGATCTTGCAAGAACTATGGCCTACGTTGAAATAGATTCTCCAGGGATAGAGTCCTTGAATATGCTCCTTTAAAAACCATTCCGGGGCGCCGTGGCCAAGTGGTTGTGATGTTCGTACCAGTGCGCGTGGAGCCTCCACCACCCTCTCCTCCCTTAACCCCAACAGTGCCCCACAGTCAACAAGAACGCTCTACAAAACGCCATAGCCAGGCGAACCCCATCAGATTGCGAGGAAATATGCTCGACCAGTATTCTACGTCATTCCAAAAGAAAACAAAAAACGAATCGAATGCCAGAAGCACTGGGATCCGCACGATAAAAATTGTGATGGCGGGTAGTGTAAATTAATATATAATATAGAACCATTTCATAAGCCTTTTAAGCTACTTTTAAGCCTTTTTACCAATTTGTGAACGGAGTAACAGAATGACTATCTCAAGAATTTAGTTCACAAAGTGACTAGCATTTACTAATTGAGTACTGAAATCAGTCCAATAACCAGCGACAATGTTCTTTGGTTGAAATGAATCAGCTCAAAATGGAGTTTATCATAAATTTTATCTAGAAAGCATTAAGAAGCAAAATGCAATGATGTCAGTGCGCACAGTCCAACATTTCGCGTTAGGCTGCTAATCGGCATTGAAAGAGCAGTACCTGTAGCATAGGTGTCGTTTCGTAAGAAATGCTGTATATTTCGCAATCGCATATCCGGCATGCGAATCTCCGAGTTTACCTCGATTGGATTTGGTTCATGCCAACGAATGACAATTTGCTGGGTATCGTACGCATCTGTAAAATACTTCTAATAGAAATTACTGTTTGTTGGAAAAGTGATGAAATGGCGCGCATCGCCCTTCATACAGTAGACCTGGCATTTTCAAAAACGCAGATACACAGCCTTTTTTAGGTATATTTTATTCAGTTAGTTGGCTGATAGTTATCATAGAGATATTGAAGAATGAGTAGTGGCACAAATGCGCCTCTGTGGTGCAGTGGTAGCACACGCCCCCGGTATGAATGAAGCGCGGGTTCAACTCCCGTCTGAGGTCGTGTTTTTGCTCACCACTCAATCCTCTTACGTGTCTTGGAAACATCGTAACACTGCGAAAATGCTATGAGAACATTAGAAATCACGAGTATTATATATATAAGTTAGTTGAATATTTGCCTTTGTGTAATGTATCCTGAACTTTGGCACTACTGTACATCGTATAGATATAAAGCGATGTGGATATTTTGTAAATAGTGACAGGAAACTGGACGCTAATTCATGTCCTATCAACAACAGAATCAGCGACTTTAAATCGATTTTAGCGTATAAGGCAGTACAATAGGCAGATGCTTTATAACATGTCAAAAAATTTTGACTTCATTTTGGTAAATTGTGTGGAAATACGGCTTGTGCTTCATATTCGACCTTTTTTCAGCTGTAATAACATTACGAGAAATTCTATACGGGAGAAAAAAAAGACCCGGTAGATTGTTGTTACTCGAAAAGTTATCGACCTATGTTCATTTTAACGTCCATCTATGACAACGTTATTCGATGGACAAATACGAAACGACTACTTTTTACAGCGTTACTTTTTTTGTTTTTTATTATTACTTAATATAAACATTATGGAATGATTGTGGTCTATTTCATCAAAATGCGATAAAAATTATATGGAATCTTCTTCCCATCTCTATGTGCCTTTTCTCTTCCAGAATCGTTTCCATAAGAGAATCAAACTGTCACTGCATCGAATTGAGAAGGTATTAATTTTTTTTCGTTATCAATTTACACTGATTTTTCGTCTTTCTCATTCTCGGCGTTCATAATAACAAGTTCACATTTTTCGCAGTATCTTTATCTTAAACCTAGGATTCTCTGCTCCAAACAGATTTGCTCCAGAAATAGTGGAATGAATGAAATCATGAGACATTTTAAGTGTTCACACCTTAGAAGATCACTCGATATTCAACTTTTCCACATGACATCAGTGATTTTCAAGCGAACGTTATCTACAACGTCATTCTATCTCTTTTACTGTGAAGCTTAGATGGTGATTTTATTATTATACCTTCCTGAGCTTAGATTAAATCAAAGTGTTCGACGAAAAAGCAAACTTACAACTAAGAATGCGAAGAGCACAAGTTTGCGAATCGAGTGGATATCGTGCCAAATTCTGCATACAAAGCACTGTTAAAGAGATCCTAAAACGACGTTTTGCCTTTTTGTCCACATGTTCCTGTCTCTTCTCTTATTAATTTACAAGCAAACATTAATTGCTGATATAAATGCTGCTGATACTATCCCATAATTTCTTTAGCATTTTAGAAAATTTTTTTGTCATTCCTTAACCCGATCATGTAAAGTGGTGTGCAGAAATATGTGACGCAATTTCAAAGCGATATATCCATCGTCATTCCACGTGCATTTTCACAAAAAAAAAACTGCTTGGAGATCAGAATCGAGGTCTGATGCAGTAATCCCATGATGAGTTTTATTAGAACTTTCTTAAAAAGCACGAGTTGGAATGACTCTTTGAGACTATTCAAAAAGCTTCGCAGCTGAACACTTCAGGGAACCAAACTCAGAATACAAGTAATATCACATTTACTCTGGAACATGGATAGATCCATAAAGGTGCAACACATGCTCAATGTATCAGGCTGGAAGAAATTCGGGAAGTAATCAACTTAATAAATCGTCACCGACTACAAAGGGCTCGGATAGCCGTTTCTGAAGTGCCAGATTGACGTACACCTTTCGTGTAACCTCAGCTAAATGGTGTGTGGAGCGCATTAGATTGCGTGCGCAAGCCTGACCATCACTACATGAGTTTACGTGCAACAGTTTGGTGCCAGACTGAATAGAAGCTCGAAAACACTGAGCTGATACAAAAGTTAATCCGTAGGAGTTACTGTGATGGCCAAAAACCTTTGATCATGTTATGAGGTCTAAATTGATTTTACTTGTGGAAAAGACCTTCAGTCGCAAAATTCCACCGTTTTGTTGGTAAATCTATTGTCTTTTGAAAGTAGTGTGAATTATGATTAACAGCAAAGCTGATATAAGGTTCAATGTCAACAATTCAGAGATGGGATGTACTACGCAATCCACTTCAGTATTATCATTGTAGAGGTGGTTTAATGCAAGTTTCGTCTGAGCAATAATTTATGAAGGCTGACGGATGAATCAGGTAAATGCTTTCTGTTATCTTAGGCCATTCTGCACAAGAAATGTATAACTTAGTTTGGCCACGGCGCGAAATAACTAAAAACAGCGTATGTACTACAGGACACTTCGAGCCACTGTGCAACACAAGCTCGATGTGTCAGTTTGGAAGAAAATGCTGGAAGTAATAGGCTTATTCACTACTCACCGACAATCATACCATACAGTTCCATTCGAATAGATCCATACTAGAAAATTCGGCCGTGTAACATCATGAAAACTGAGCAGTTCGAGCGTTTGCAAAGTAGATATCAGGATGCCAAATCAATTTCAAGAGATGTTGGTCCTGAAACTCAGCCCTAGTAAAAGAGTGTTTCAATAGAATGGCGAGAAATTAAGGGACTACTTTACAATCAATCTGTTAAGCGAATTAAATGCTTGAGGTACTGGGATTCGCACAGTGAAACTATAAACACTGTGAAGACGGTCAATAAAGTGTCAAATCAAAGTGTCAAGTATAAGAGCGAAATGAGTAAGCAGTTTGAGAGGCAAGCGATTTTCTCTAAGTGTTCCTTACCCGGTCTTCCATGTTCGAGAAATTTCCTTCGTACTGCTTTTTAGGTGGTATGAGTTTTATGTGATAGACCGACCCTATTTTGTGCTTTTTTTGGCTAATATGATTTTGTGAAAATGGGTTTCCATCTCATGAAAACCGCTTGAACACTTTGACGGCGAAGTCTTGTTTATAAAACGACACATTTCCGATAGTTATATCAAGTCCGTAATGTCTGCCCTCCTGGGTATGTCATTAGTTGGTACCTTCATACGTGTAAATGCTGCAGTAAACTTATTTTGCTGAGTTTTCAACAAAATTTGCTATAAATATTCAAGTCACAAAGATGAGAGAACAATTTGTGTCAAACTAGTTGTGTTTAAACTCCTACAATTCACAAACTATCGATTGGCCTACAATAAATGCAGTAGATGATACCCCGCTTCGTTGTCCAGAAATAATTCATTTTCAAGTAAGGTGAAAGCGTTTATAAGGCCCTTCTCTGTTCTTGAGTGTTGTGAAAATTTTTGTCTTCGCAACCATACGTGGTCTTTTCGCATGTGATTTCGCGAGCACTTCGTTATATACTACAACAAGTGAATGCTCCTGCAGAAGTAGGCCAAATAGACCACCTTTGGTTGCAGCAATACAATTATATAGCATTCGAGAATAATAGTATGGCTTTATACAGATGGACCCACTTCTCTTGGCGCTTGTCATTTTTACGGCGCAGACCAGAAGTTCTCCCTAGACTTTTCGTAGTCAGCTGTTTGTAACGTGAATGTAGATGTGATATGATACACAAAATCCGCTCAGGAAACGCTTTCTTCTCAAAAACTGTCACTGTTATTTGCAAACAAGCTTCGTTCCGGAATGATCTTGTTCGATGCAAGGAATACTCGGAACGTATTCCAAGCTTAACAATTGCTACAAGAAGACCATCATTCTGATAACGTTGTGTAGGCATAGCCTCTCCGTGAGCGTTGACGGCTACCGAATGGTACAGATAACTCCAGGAAAAGGCTTCTGTTTACCAGTATAACATGACCGTAATATGTAAAATGGCACTCATGGAAGCCAATCTTCATTGATGGGTCAAAAAAAAATTTTGTAGAATTTCAATTCTTTTCTCCTACAGATTGGAGTGTTTCGTTTTCAATCCTTGGAAGCTTTATGACTCTTATATATTAACGTCCATAAAATTAAGCGAAAATGTCAATTTTACACTTCTCATATATCGGTTCTTCTTGTTTTTATTATGGCTCACTTCGGTAAAGTAGATAAAACTATGGATCTCAAGACGTTTTTTTTTCCATTGAATAATATGACGTCCATCGTCAATAGAACTTTCATGGGTGATATATAGTCTGTGTTGGAAAACCTCGCAGTCTCGCGATTTTTACGTACGGGTACTTCAAGATTTTAGTCTCCCCATAGGCATGAACCGAACTTCTTCAATGGCGTTTTATGAAATCTATGAAAATGAGATTAGAAATGGACCCTTCAATGATCGGACGACTATGATGTCAACAACCGTAATCAATTATATAAGAGCGATTTGGAAAGCTAGGGGATGAATGACGAGCTATTTTCATTATTCATATATTTAGTCTAGATACGAATTCACGCATTTTCTAACTTGTTCGGCTTTTTTATCTTCTATTTTGCTCGCTGTTCTACATTTGTGTTCAGATGAGGGCCTTTCAATTTTATGTGTGAGTTTCTAGCGAACTTGAAGATATGCAAATAATGTCCAATTAGAATTCGATAATGAAACCCAGTTATGCTGTTTTTATGGATTCGCCTAATGGTGGTTGTGTTTACCATTTCGGAATCATGTGCTAGCTCTACGGAGAGCGCATTGAGGTCTTCAGAATGAAGTTTCGCTAGCGCCTTGTCGTCCCCAGCTGGATGACTGGCTTTGGTTAGCCGGGGAACGCAAAAAACTGGAAACCATCGTCTGTTGCGCGCAGTCTCGAAGTATTTGCCGTTCCCGACTCCCAAACAGAATAACAATCTATAACACTTCCTTAATTATCAAATTACGGATACTGGGAAAGCATGCCGTATTCGGGGAGCAAAAAGATTGGAGAACCTGCGTTACGAAATTTTCTGCTTTTTGTAGTAAGAAACGTTTCTTTTTATACTGAAAAACTGGTGACAATGTAAGGAATATAGGTGATCTGTGCAAATAAATAGAGAACCTCTTCCCCCGCTATTTTCTCACTAAAGCATAAAAAGTAGAGCCTTACTTTTTGGAAAGCGTGCTTGTCAGATTTTCGTCCCTCGAAATGTCATGAAATTGCATACTCGTGATTCCATCACATTCATTGAAG